GGATTGATATGGCATATGTTGAGGAGGCCACTGAATGACATCTCACTCAATGCAGGTCATTGTTCAGAAGGAATCCCAATCGGAAGCAACGAATAGGTCGTCGATGCGAGAGTGATATGGAGGAAATCGTGTGATTTGGATGAGGAGATGAGACATTATGGGCACTCTTGGACCCAGCTGAAGAGGAAGGCAGAGAATAGAGGAAAGTGGGGATGTGTTGTTGAAGCCAGCCCTATGTTCCACTTGGAAACCAAGGGAATAACAATAATAATAATAGTGCAAAAGTTTGAACCTGAATTCAACACACTGTGTATTCTGTCATCTAAAACTCTTGAGTTTACTTGCCTTTATTGCACACTTAAATAGCTTGTGTTTATAAGTTATTTAATGGAAAATATTTATTCTTTTATCATGTGATTTTAGTTTTCTAAATAGTATAATCACTACAAAAACATCATATATTTTGTGTCCTGAAGATGATATCTATTTTTCTCAATAGGCCATTATTCTATTTGTCAACAGTTTGTCAACTTGACTCTTATCTAAAATGATGAAGCGAAGTTAGCCTGATGTATGACAATGATAATGATACTGGAATTCTTATCGCTTCGCCTACAAATACGCGATTTACTAACAGATGGTATCCTTTTAGCATTCTAATAATAATCTTTAGGCTTAAGCATATGATCATTGGAAAAAAAAACATCCGCGAAGAATATTTACCGATACCTATTTCCCAATATATAGCATGTTATTTATTACATTTGAAAATGGCAAGCAATACGGATATCCTTCTCAACGTTATTTTTTTTCTTACATGGAGTTTGAAATAATAATAATAATGTAAACAGTAACCTTAGGAGAGCAGACTTCTAATAACACAGTAAGGATTTATTGTAGGCGAAAGCTTTCTTGTTTGTAGTTCATAGGTTCAAATATTTGAGTGATTCTATATTTATTCAGTTAATATTATTATCAAAGAAAATGTCTACTGACAACGGGAATTCTTTGATATGTTATGTGTTATGCACTGAGAACAGCTTTAATGCATATATGATTATAATAAAAAGAGATTTCGTTGCATAAACAAGAGATGGACAGGTTTGAAAACTAACAACAGGATCATGTTTTTCTTAGACTTCGTGGAAGATTTTTGTCTAATTTCACTGAAACTAGAAAATCTATAGACGAAAAAGAACAATAACAACAACCAGCAGCAATCACCCTCAACGGGAGGAATTTGAAGGAAGTCACTTCTTCCACTAGGCAACAGTTTTTCAACTACAGGAGGCATAGATAAGGATGTCAAGGACAGTATGGGAAAAGGAAGATGCGTTTGTTACCCTGAATTCAGTGTGGAAATCTGCTGTAATCTGCACTTGTAGAAAAGATTCGAATTTTTGACGCTAATGTCAAGTCTATTAGACTTCAAATGGCTCAGAGACTTAACGGTAGCGTTAACATAAACATTTCCGACAGTCTGCTGTCGACATTTATCACCACATGCCTATGCTGCGTACTAAAGATCAGAAAGCCAGAACAGATTAGCAACATGAAACTCAGGAAACGAACCAACCAAGAAGCTGTTGTACAGTAAATATATCAAGCGAAATACAGATAGATATGACACACGCATCAGGACCTCTAGTGGAAGGCTAATGGAAAACGGCTGTATCGACGTCATAGGGTGAAACTGTTGTGGTGATGTGAGGAGGAGATGAGAGCGTATGGAAAATCATGGAGCCTGTTGTAAAACCTCCAGCGAAAGGGGGAAGATCGAGGCGTTCTGCTGGAGCGATATGTTCCACTTGGAACCCAGCAGAATAATAATAATGTCTATGTTCAAGTCTGTCAAAGTAATTTATTAACTTCAGGAAAATGGGAAGCATTTTTATCAGAACCTCAAGGTTTATTAAGGTTTCACTCATCTGCTTTGAAACTTACGATATTAAATAGCCAGACAAGACTTTTTACCGTCTATGCCTGCCATGAGGTTTGGTCGAATTCCTTCGCTTCAAAAGGGACGATATCTTTGAAACATTTTTACTGTTATTGTTGATAATTATTTACCTTAGCTTCACTGATGACTTACTACTTGCTTCAACGGATAAACAATTCAGCGATAGCCTAATTTATAATTTTTCGAGGATTTGATAAACTAAGCTGCCTTATTAAAAAATAATAACAAATATAATCGCAGGTTATATTTAGTGAAGATTATTTGTGAGGATAAAAGCAATCGTGATATGTTTTTTGGTGCACAGTATGCAAACGCCACAACAGGTGACATTCCAGTTGTATAAAAGAGAGTCGATAAAAAGTTTATCAGAACGTAAAGCGGTATTAAAGGTTCATTGAAAAGAACATTTCCCGCCGCCAGACACATTCTACTTTAAAACATGGTATGCTCCTTAACTCAGTCGAAAGTAGTTAGGCATCCTACTGACTTCAAATCCAGCTGCATTTACCAACACACCTGCACTCGTGGCAGCAAATACATAGGAAGGACTGAGAGGAGAGCGTGTTACTAGATTCTCCGAACATATCCCTAAAAGCCTCCGTTTTCAAGGCAGCAAAGTGTTCTCAAGTGCAATCACCAGACACCTAATTGACACGGGACATACAGTGGAAATTAGTCAAGCTTCAAAATAATCGATACACAAAGAAAAGCATGGCCACTTTAGTTTACAGAAGCCAGTGCCATCAAAAGACTTCGACCCAACCTATGCATTCAGAAAGAGAGTATGACTAATCTCTCACTACCATGGTAACTATAGTTTCTTTTATTCGTGTGCTTTTGTGTTTTGTTCTGTTGCATAATATTCCACTCAATCGCCATTTTGATTTTCACTCACTGAGTTGAACCCGCTTTTAAGGTTCCAAATCCACTAAATTAAATTATTTATCTATTTTGTAATTTTACTGCACTATTCACCCCCACCCTCCTGAACTCTCCACCATAATATGTGTAAATTAACTGTGTTGTTCTATCCTGTATTTTGTCTCTAGTCCATCCTTGTTTCCAAGCGAAATCTGAATTCCACTCCTTCGTCTAATTACTATATAAATAGTTACTCTTTTAACAACATCATCTTTGAAATTATGTTGCTCATACTCTCTTTCTATGATCATTGTAAAAACAATGTTCAGACATCATTTTTTAAAACATATTTAGGATTTATTTAGGATGTATGCAGTTGAAGAGAATCCACAAAGTAAAACGAGCTCATATTAGCCTGCAGATATGTTCGTTCTTTCTTTATTCAAACTAATGAAGGGGACCGGCTGTATAAAAATCGATAAAAGATGTTTAAAACAACCAAACGTAACATCTGATATCATTACGCCATTCTCCTAAGTACGTAATGCAAATTCACATAAGACTAACTACCTGAGGAAATCTGAATCCTGACTGACCTCCTCCATTCTACCCATTCAAGTAGGGGGAAACGAAGGCACTGCAAGCCTGTCCTTTATTATAACTTACTCATCCGCAGACTATAAATATATCACTATATGACTAAGTTATTTCCATTCAATATCATTAAAAATAATTTTTAAAAGTTGTGTTAAGAGCAATTTATTGTTATTAACAATAACGTCCAGCAAATATGTATAATAAGTGGGAATTTAATGCTACAATTACATTCTTCTGAATTATCTCTCAACACAGAAGAATAGAACTTGGGCACAGTAATAAACAGTAATATTCGCCGATCAGTATAATACTGTGAAACTTAATCAAAATAATCTGTCTCCATAATGGAACGGACGATCGTGTTTCAAGTTCAACTGCAAATTAATATCAGTTAGAGGACCATTGAAAATCAGGGTTAACTGAACAGAAGATTGTGGTCTGAAGTTTGTCGCACCTTCTACTTTTACAGCAATATCATCAATATCCAGAATCTTAGAGTGTTTAATTTCATTTTATCCTGTGCTATACAACAAACTCACAGTTTTCGACATGGAACATGATTTTGTTTCCATGCTCATTTTGTTCACACCCGTAATTCGTCCTATCCCTGCGTAAATTTTGTTTCTAAGCCTCTTGTAGTTCATATCAAGTTGAAAATAATTATCACCTTTTTTATTCGACTTTAAAATTATTTCTCCAATTATCAAATATTAATTTTGCATACGTTGTAACTGTTTTCTAATCCTATGCAATCTTGTCTCTAAGCCCCATGTAATTTAGATTCGTACCTTCAAACTTTCATATCAAGTTGAAAATTATTATCTCCTTCGTTATTATGTGGAATTAAATAAATAATAATTGTATCCATATAAACTAATGTACATGAATGCGATTGTACAGCTTTTGAGAATGAAATCACTGAAAAGATATCTTTGCTGAACTTCTTGTTCTTTTCCGTCTAATGTCCCGATGGGTATTTTCCATGATTTTATCACAACTTTTCCTCTCCATACTTTTTTGTTTGATTCCATGAGCCCTTTTTTTAATAATAATGACAATAACTGCTTTACCTCCGAATAGTATGTTTCATAGAATGTGAAATTTTCAGAATTTAGTGCAATACTTCATCTAACTTCCCCTTGATATTTACATAGTACTGCAGGAAAATAATTAAGAAGGGATTCACATTGATGATAACAATGTCAATGAAGAATATGAATGTAAAACTAAAATTTAAAGTTAGTGGAAATACTGAGAACAGTATACTTATGACTGGGAGAATAAGAAGCGACGTTTACCTACCATGTTGCAGTAGGTCAGTAGTTACATGCCAAACAAATCACCTAAAATACGTGCCATACAAGGTATCGTAGAGTTTTCATACTTAATTGTCCTATCGTAGGGTCTCTTATAAGTGCTTAAGACTATTTGACAAGGACCACTGACTAATTTCTGATAAAAAGTTATTCATTTAAGAACAATCTAACTAAGAAGTGACCTCCATGGAAACAGTTTTTAATAAAACATGATATTCAGAAATCACAGTAAATAATTGCATATGATCCTATCAAGGCGAACTTACTCAGTCGGTGTTATATTTGACTCAGTGGAGAGTAGGTTGGATATAATCAGTAATATCATATAATTGTATATTCCCATTGTTTCAAGTCTTTTTTTCGATGTATAAATAAAGTTATATTTGTGTTTATTTCACCATTATTTGTGTATTGTATTGAAGTTTTTACAAAAGTCTACATCGATTTATCCAACTCATGTGAAGTGTACAATTGGTAGTTTAAAGTAATTATGTCCAGCTGCTGAGATCCAATGTGTTAGAAGAAGGCGGCAAAATGTTCGTAGTGGAATGTTCTCTACTTCTTTGTATATCTATGATAGTATTCCACAGATGAGTATTGTAAAATACCCTTCACAAAAATTATAACCAATTAGCCATATTTGATTCACACCATATCTATCACAGAAGGCTTGTTTTGATTGGTCTTTCATAGAAGGCATATGATTGGTTAATTTTTCATAGTGGAATATTTAACGATACTTTCTATAAGTGTTGTAAACATTTAACGAATAATACTTTTAGATAATAACATTTTTTAGGGATATGAATTTATTTCCATCTCCATCTCATTGATAGCTATTGGATGGATATCTTAAAGCTGCAGTCATTGGTGTCCACTTTATCGAGTTGAATTAGGTGTTCATCGAAGTGACTGGGCGAAAGTAACGCTACATCACAAACTGCCAGAAGTTAGAATTCACGTATCACTGAATTCCGGTCCAAGTAGTCTGACCTTGTTATCTGAAAGTCCTGTGTTTCCATCTCTGGTGGAGGCATGGGTGTACACTGCTGAATAGTTCCAAACTGAGACAAATAATATTTCAGTAGCTGTGTTTGCCATCTTATTATTATATTATCATTATTATTCCGTTGGGTTCCGAGTGGAACATAGGGCTGGCTTCAACAACACACCCCACTTTCTCCTGTTCTCTGCTGTCCTCTTCAGCTGGCTAGCTCCATGATTGCCCATAATCTCTCACATCCTCTTCCAAATGACATAATCTTCTCCAAGTTAAAGTCTCGAAGCGAAGGCGCACTCGTTGCTTCCCATTTGGATTACACTCGAGCGATGGCCTGCACTGAGCGCGATGTTATTCAACAGTCTTCTCAATGGCGTGTGCCCAATCCATATCCACTTTCTGCTACATATTTGTTGATAAGTCGGCTTTTCACTGGTTGATTATCATCTTTCTGATTATTTTTGTAGATTTTCCCTACTCAAATTACATTATCTTTCAGTTTTGGATGGAAATAAAGGGTACTTCATATCACTTTTGTTGAATTCATATTTTTATTGGAGGGTTTGTAAAAAAAGTTTAAAATTGAGGGTGAATTAAGAAAAACAAACAAAATATTACGCCTAAAATATGGTGGCAGATTTTTATCGTTATTATCATAAGTTTTATCCCTTTCGGTTCTGATTGTAATATACAGGGATTCAGCAGTCCATCTCAGTTTCGACCCTTTAAGATCACTCCGCCATTGCCCGTAAGATTCACTTCCTCCTAAGGCAACCTCCTCTATGTCACCATCGGTGGCCTGATTCGTCGTCTGACACCTGAGTTGCACTTGAGGGTATGCAGGGTTCCCTCTGCCTCTTCTGCAATTTTGATAGTTTTCAACTTTGATCGCTAATTTCCTTCAGTGTGAGAACCATTGAAAACCAGGTATGACTGAACAGATGTTTGAGACTCTTAAGCAGTATGCACCAGTGCTCCCACTTGGAGTTCAGCCTACGACCTACGGCTAACAAGGCAACACGTATACCATTCAGCCCCAGGACGGAATCTAATGGCCGTTAAATTCTTAATTCTGTCAGTTGCGCGACAGCCAGCCAGTATCATGAGTGCGTATTTGTACACACATCCAGCTTAGTAGTCCTCGTTGATTACGACTTCTCACTGGGAATTCAGGCCTGGTTTCCACCTCTAGACCTTCGAGCTTGGGTGACATCAGACATAAGTCGTCTAGCCGATTCAACGTATGTCTGTCTTCTGTGTCCCTACTGTCTGTTGCATAGTACGGTCCACCACAATCATTACTAACGCAACACTAAATGTTGTTCAGACTATAAAAGATTCAAGGTGAAGGAAACTGTCTATCGAACTTAGAGTACATATTCATATTCCCTGGAAGTCAGACCAGTCCAGTTAATAGCTGACTGATTCTGCCCATCATATTTCCAGATTCTTCCAAAAATATTCCAGTGAAATTCTGTTCTTATATTCACTTGTTCAATAATCAACTAAGTGACAATAAATAAGACGATCCATCAAATAAACGATGAACAGGCATTTTCTGTTAGTAGATATTATAAAAATTAACACTGGCAGGAACAGATGAGAATAGCTCAAACAGCATGGCAAAGAGGGTAGTAAGAAAGTTATTTGTAATAATGTTGATATACCATTCTTATCTTCCTCATCACTACAATTCTTATAGACAAGTAGACTAGGTATCATTCGTTCAGGCTAATTTTGTGTTTCTTGTTGGCTGATTATACTGAACCGAAAGGTCTGGTGTCTGTTGACACGTTTCCTCCTAATACGAACGATTCAACGATGAATGGTGACTAGAAGTGCAATCAGTGTCAGAGGTAACTTCATGGATAACTCTTTGACGTTTCAAACGATAGATGAAGCATTTGAGTCTCATTGGAGACACCATCACTCAATGAGAGTTGTAGATACATCCAGTTAACAAATCTCAGACAGAACGAATTGCGCGCTCTACGTGTTACTACGAGTCACCATCAGTCAGAAATATAGATTAGTTCCTATTTGGATATCAGTCATATATGTTCTTACTGACATATTTCTAACCACGACAGCTGTGGTTGAAGAGTGGTGAAACTATTAGTATTGAATATAGTTTTAACGTAGAGAAAGAAAATATTCTAACATTAGAATTTAAATAATTTAAACACTTTTCTCTTTTTTTATGTATCCATTTTTTCCACCTGAATAGTTTTCAAGAGGCTATTTCCCAAAAATGTATTACAAATTGCGTATAGTGAAATATTGTGGTTGTCAAGAGTGTAAAATTGTTAAGTTTGCTTTGATTTATGGTGTTATGTCATATATGAAAAAAAAGAAATGTTGGGAATTCAATTTCCTGTATTTTTTTAAAATATTTCCTGAATCTGAAAGCTAGAGGTACTCAAGAGACAGTAGTACATCATAATTTATTATGAGTTTAAATGTGTATCAGTTCACATGATCACAGTGAAATCTTTTGTCACAATGAGACTGCAGCTACACATATAAGTATGAAAGTCTCATATTTTAGATGGTTGAGAGTAATCAGTAGGAAGCCTTAGAGCTAGGCTTAGTGTTTGTTGGCAATCCTTAGCTTGGCGTATCTACAATTTTGAAGGAATTCATGCCCCTGCTGAGATTCAAACCTGGGTCACCCAATGCTGCAATCAGAGGTGTTACCACTGAGTTGTTTTGTCTGGTGACTTATTACCTGTAGGACTGTATCATATACTTTGGTTGGACTTTAGGTGATAACTATTGTTATGCGTCTATGCCTTCGCCTGCTGCAGACTGAATTCTATCAGTCAAGTTTGCAGTTCACAGTGCACCGTAGTGGTGAGCCACCTAGCACAATGGCCACATTGCAAAGTTGACCGATAGAATCCAGTCTGCTCTAAATGCAAGACTAGGTGCATGATACCAGTTACTATCTACTGTTCAACCAAAGTCTCATTTTAGTACAGATGTGATGTTAGATTCGTTCTATTAAATCTGACAGGAAACTTCTCTTTCTCTATTACCCTCAAAATAATTCACACTTTATCTAAGTTTATTTTATTCTCGAGGGCATTCAGAACAGGTCACGTTGGACTAAAGTATAGCTGGTGCAATTGAGAAAAGGCGGAGGACAGAAAAGTAGTTTTGAAGCAAGTTTTTAAAACCATAGTAGAGTTGTTTGCCTGAATTACGTGGGTATAACTTCCATGTAAAATTCTTCTTTTACTTACATTTCATCGGTGAATCATACTGTGAAATATGGTTCATCATTGAAATGTAATCTAGAAGCCTGGTACTCAAGTGAATCAGCAATTAACAAACACACTACAACAGACCAAATTTACCGGCTAATAAAAAGTAAATCATCACATGACAAGAAAGTTCAAATTCCAAGTCAATAAAAGTGGTAAATAGAGATGTAAATTAACAACCAATCACCACAATATATTTCATGGAGAATTCAAATACGTTCTCTTCACAGTAAGCCCTGCGCTGAAGATGTTGTCTAGAAAGACAATGAAAGATTCACAATAAAGTCAATCAACAATTTCAAATTCTTTAGGTACCCACAACACCTGTCCTTCATGACAATCATTCCTACTACTGATACCTCTGAATGTGAGTACTTAGAGTTATTTAGGAAGACGTTTTGAATTAAATACCCAATACCAAGGATTACTAGGTATCTGCTTCTTCCCAGTTTAGTATCCCGCATCAGTACGCACTCACAATTGCACCTATGACTCTTAGGTTACCAGTAAAGCTCGTTAGGCATTCAGCCACTGGGCTGGAACTAATTGTCCCATGAATTCTAACCTCTATCATTTCGTGATTTTAGCTCACTAGTGACTGGATACAAGACCATATTGCCAGAAGTGCTAGTAAGAAGTTCTCACCAGTTGTGTCCACTAAGTCGCGTGTGACAACAAACACTCACCGATGACAGTGGTTACCTATTTCGCCAGAAAGTTGGGAAATGACAGAAGTTAAAGTCCATAGGCCACTGGATTCCGTTACACATGGTTTAATGGTAGGTAAACTCGCCTTGTGATCTGAAAGTCCTGGGTTCCATCCTCATCGGTGTAGTCATAGGTGGATATTACTGAAGAGTTCTGAAGAAAATGAAGACGAAACAGCTGCCCAGTACTCCCTGTTTTTCATTAGTTCTCCAACTGCTATCAATCTGTGACAAAATCAATCGGAACTTATTCATTAAGATGAGTAAAGTGATGCTAACTTGCTGAATGTTTTAGAAGGAAAAATAGAGGCAAACACGATGATGGTTAAACTCCTAGAAACAGAATGCCACTTATCCTGTGAGTATGTCAACAAGACAGAATTATCTTTTACAACCTTAGGGATGAAGAATTGATAAAAGTTAGCAGAAATATTTTTCGAGAAATTGGAAGCATTTATTTCCCCATACAAATTTTTAACAAGCCAGAAATGTGGTTAACAAAGCCGGATTCAATAAATTCATCAAATTTTGTTACAACTCTTCAAATGAATAGTCTACATACGGGGATATATACACATGTACTCTTAGAAATACATTGGAAGATATTTGACTGGTAAGTGAATAAACT